ATCCCATGCCCCTTCAACTTGATAAGCAGCTGACGATACACCAAATTTGAAGTCATCTTTGAAACTCCTCTGTTTGGTGTCACTCCAACCATCAATTGTTACACCACTGAATATTTGACAATATTAAAGTCATATCAAACTTTCGTAAGACATTATAATAAACTTATATAAAAACGACTAAACACTCGCGTATTCATCCGGTGGGGGTACCGACTAGTTTCGAGCCCATCGGAGGCCCTTCATCAGGGTGAGTGGGACTGGTATTATTTCGAGGACGCGGCCCGTCTCTCATTGCGCGCCTGCGCTCTTAGGGCGCATCTTGAGGGGGCGGGGGGCGCGTTGTGCGCCGGCGTCGTCGACGATATTAATGCTAAAGCGTCGGTGGTGTTGCTGTTCAAGTTTCTACTTCTTTCTTCTAGTCATCTTTCAACTAGTCGGTGCCGCCACCGGACGAATATACGTGAGTGTTTAGCCGTTTTATATAAGTTTAATATTAAAGTCTATGACATTAATATGGTAATAACCTCACTTGCCAAAAAAGGTTAGGTCATTTACCGTGGGTTTCTGAGACTAAAATATCCGTATAAATTTATCGTCATCCGAGTCATTATCATGGTCTCAGAAACCCACGCTTAGTATGTCATTATAGAAAGTCACATCGGAATTAGGATAGGTAAAAGTTCATAATTATTAACCATACAATACTCGGGATATTTCATACACAGACTAAAAATCAGGCAACGCATATGCAATTGCGTATGTCTATGGGCAACGGTCACTTCGCTACTTCAGCGATTTCAGGTGATTATTGACCTTATGATATAAAAAAAAACAGTTGTGCAAAAATTTTAATTCAATATTTATACTATAAAGCGAATAAATAAAAAATAACTTACTTCTTACTAATATTATAAATGCGAATGTTTAGATGGATGGATGTTTGAAGGTATCGGCCGGCTGAATGGATCTCTATGAAATTTGGCATACATATAGAACATCTGGAAGCCAACATAGACTACTAATTTTGTTTTTTTTTACAAATACGTACAGAGTCGCGGGATACAGCTAGAAATTATAAAGTTAGAATGAATATATTAATACATACCATAAAGCCACAATAAACAAAGATAACATCATATTCGTAATGTTTATTTCATATTAATTAAATAAATAATAGCACTGTTTCGTTGCGTATAGTTTTGAAGCATAAACTATACTAATCGGCAATAATTACTGTGCAATTGATAAAGAAAATTATATTTATCAATTAGTAATTTAATATTATCTTCTACTTATCTTTCTTCATACTAATATTATAAATGCGTAAGTTTAGATAGATAGTTATTCAACATCATCATCAGCTCACTATAAGTCTCCACCGAGGGGCTCGGAGCCTACCCTAAGTTAAGGGTTTAGACCATAGTCAAGCACGCCACCACTATAACTTCAAATTAAATTAATTAATTATTGTGACCTATACATGTATATTAACGGAGAATTCTAAACGAAACTTACTATAACCCGCAACTTGAGACCTGCAGCGCCCACAAGGGGGCGTTATCGCCCACTTTGAGAAAGACTGGTTTAGATGGATGGATGGGTGTTTGAAGATATCTCTAGAACGGCTGAACGGATCTTGATTAAATTTGGCATACGTATAGAACATAGTCTGAAAGAACACATAAGCTACACTAATTAAGTTTTTTTATATATCGTATGGTTTTTGTGTTATTTTGGTACGCTGGGTCACCGACATCGTAAACATGGACAAACGACCGCCGTCACGTCATTTTAATCTCGGACAGAATTAAAATGCATACTATGCGTATATAAAAAAAAGTGAAAATCTACTGACGTAATAAGTGTTAAGACATATTCCTGTCTCTTTTATTTTTTGGGATAATGATAGGGATGAAAGAAATCTCAAGTATTTCAACAAAGGAAGTCCACAATTGTATTGATATGTTATCTATCAATAGATAATATTCAAGTATTTTTTAAAGTGTTTGCGAACTTTAAAAGTATATCAGATGACAGATTTTATCTAAAATAGAAGAGCTATAGGGGGCTTTATATTTACGTAATAAAAAAAACACAGAGGTTTTCAATTTGTTTTTATTTTACCTCAAACGTTTTATTTATTTTCCTTCATCTATTGTCATTATCATTGAAGGTGGTTCATAATCGTGGTCAACCACACGTGTCCTGAGCACTTCTTTGTAAATAAATGCAGACTTTCTAGGCGTCCTAGTTCTTGCCGGATCTTCGAAGTCAACCTCGTACAGTCCGAAGCGTTCACTGCAAGAAAATATAATCTTACAATGTTTAACGAAATGGCAACATTATTTGTCAACTGTCAAACATAGCCGCCATTTTTAAATTTAACGTGAAATTACAACTGTCATAATTTTAACGAAATTTTTCTTTATTGAATTAAATTATTAAATATACTTTTTTATTTGTACAAATAAGACAGTTTTGAATAGATTCTTAATTATAACTAGCTGTCGCCCGCGACTCCGTCCGCGAGGGATTAAAAATAGATGTTGGCCGATTCTCAGACCTACTCAATATGCTTACAAAATTTCATTAAAATCGGTCAAGTCGATTCGGAGGAGTATGGGAACGAAAATTGTGACACGAGAATTTTATATATAAAATGTGTCAAAACACAACAAAATATCCCTATCTTTTTTTGTTTCACAGTATGCTTTGCCAATCATTTTCCCGAAACTACTCAAAGCAATTGGTCACGTCTGTAGACGTGATGACGAATCCATCGAGCGCTTGGAGGTGCAGGGGAAAGTTGAGGGCAACAGACCACGAGGAAGATCGCCTATGAGGTGGACCGACCAAATCAGAGCGGCTGTGGTTGTCCCCCTGCACCAATGTACAAAAAAGGCAGCGACTAGGGAGGAGTGGCGGCGCCTGGTAAAGCGGGTCACTGATACGTGATGACCACGACCAGTCTGACAAGACTGTAACGACGAAGAAGAGAAGAGACTCAAAGCAATTCTAACACACTAGAAATATTATTTTGAATATTTTATAGATAAAACAAAAATAATAAACTCACGTATATCCTTGCATCCATTCAAAGTTATCCATAAGACTCCATGCCATATAACCCTTGAGGTTGACACCGGCGTCCAACGCGTCTAGAACATTCTCCAAAGCGGCGCGGTAATAACGCACTCTGTCATCATCTTCCAGTCCCTGTTCCAGTCTAGTAGACCAGCCATTCTCCGTAATATACATCACTGGATTGTTATACTTCTCTTTTATAAGTAGTAACATTTTTAGAAGACTGTCGGGTGATTGCTGAAAAATAAAGAATAAAATAATACCATTAACATTTATACCAAAATAAGGGAAACGCAGAATTAAAAAAAAACTTAGTAGCCTATGTGTTCTTCCAGATCATGTTCTACATCTACGACAAATAATATATCCTACCGCGCGCGCGGTCGCACGAACACTGCGCTCCGGTTTATATTTTGTTTAAAAAGAGATAAAGTGCAGAAAATTAATTTACATAATTACGATACAATCAACTTAGTTTAACTTATTGTGGTTGTGACATTTTTTTTTAGTGTTGAGTGCCTTTTTTAACCAATTATCAGTCGACTAACAATTAATATTAGGCAGTGTCTCAGTATCGCTTAAATGTCATAGTACAGAGTTATTGCACTTTATAGAACAGTACGTAAATCGCATCATTGTCGTACTGCAATTTTGTATAGAACTTAGTATTCGATTTATTCTACTCTGTGGCACCTGTGCTATTGCGATAATGATTTGTGACCGATGTACCCACTCCGTAAAAAAAGATGAAGTGGTCGTCTGCTCAAACTGTAAAAAGGGTTTTCACTATCATTGTGTTGATTTAACAACATCCTTTTACAACAAAAACGCTCGCGAACTAAAAAGGTCATGGAAAT